TTTATACTCTTTATTGATAAGATTATAGATTATAGCTTCAAAGGCTGAAATCTAATGTTTTTATTTATTTTTTCATTAAAAAAATTAGGTACCAGGAATTGAACTCAGGGGTGTTTTACCATTGAGCCACATCCCCATCGCTTTTTTATTTTGAGACAGGGTCTTGCTGAGTTGCTTAGGGTCTTGCTAAATTGCTGCAGCTGGCCTCAAACTTGCAATTCTCTTGCCCCAGCCTCTGAGTCACGGGGATTACAAGTATGTGCGACCACTCCCAGCTCCAATACACCTGGCTTAATATGTTTTTTTAAAACAGTCTCTGAACATCCCCTTGGTTCAGAGGTTGACAAATGTCTTTTTCTGTCAAAGACCAGAGAGTAGATGCTTTTGGTTTTGTGGACTATAAGGTTTCTGGGGCAAGTGTTTGAGTCTGCTATTGTAACTCAAAAGAAGTCATAGACAATATATAAACAAATGAATATGGCTGTATTCCAGTAAAACTGTACTTTGGACACTGAAGTATGAATTTTGTGTAATTTTCAAAAGTCATGAAATGTTATTTTTCAACCATTTAAAAATGTAGGGTTGGGGTTGTGGCTCAGTGGCAGAGCGCCTGCTTAGCATGTGTGAGGCACTGGGTTTGATTCTCAGCACCACATATAAATAAATTAATAAAATAAAGGTTCATCAACATCTAAAAAATATATTTTAAAAAATGTAAAAATAAAACAGGCAGGCCTGTGGCATATGCTTGTAATGGAAGCAACAGGCTGAGGCAGGAGGATCACAGGTTCATATCCAGTCTCAGCAATTAGCAAGGGCCTAAGCAACTTGGCAAGACCCTGTCTTAAAAATTAATTAATTAAAAGGGCTGGGAATGTGGCTCAGTGGTTTAGAGCTCCTGGATTCAATCCCCCAGTACCAAAAAAAAAAAAAGTAAAAACATTGTAGTTCATAGGGTCCATGAAAATAAGTCGTGCTCTGTTTTGGTCTGCAGGACCCTTAGCAAAGAAAAATTAAATAAATAGTTTTTTCCATCCAGCCCCCACTAGACCATCGTAAGTAATGTTTCAAGGGCTACGCGCATGAACAAAGTTTTTCTTTTCTTCCATTCCCACTCTGTGCGTTCCAATTGAATTTCAAGTCATTCCCCTCTCGTGTGCCTCAGCTGTTGTTAGCTGCACCTTTTTCCAAGGCAGAAACCTGGAATCATCCTCCCTTCCTTCCCAACCCTCCAGTGGCACATGCCTTCAGTCATTTAACGTCTGCGGGGTCTGTTTTAAGCATGAGAGAATAGGGGTTCTCAAATGTGTGTAATGTGAGTGCCAGAACTTCTTGGGGACTTTAAAAAGAGGGCAGGTCTAGAAGAGCTTTTTTTTTTTTTTTTTTTTTTTTAAATCGCACCACAGGTACTTCTAAAGACAGTTCTGATGCATCACAGGACTGGGCCTGGAAAATCATTGTGCTCTATGCCCCTGTGGGTTAGGGTACAGGCTTTAGTCCTCGCAGCCCCCTAGTGGGGTATGTCCCCAATTTTAGGTGAACAAATTCCAGTGCTCGTCCAGTCCATCTGTGCACATATTCCCTGTGTCTCTTGCCTGCAGGGATGAAGGACTGGGGAGTCATGACCCGTCCCTCTTCCCGAGAGAGCAGCAAGCCAAGGCAGTTCCAAACTAGGGGAACTCAGGGCTCTCCCGGAACCATCATCACTCGTGGAGGACCGGTGTGGGGGAACACTAGTCTCGAAGGACCTAGAGCTGCAGGGGGACATTTCACCTGAAGGACTGCCTCGTTTCAACAACAACTTTATGGCTGCCGGAAGTACTTCTCGTTCCCTTTCCAGCTTCACGCCCGTGGGCTGCAGTGGGAGCGATGGCGGCGGCAGCCACCGGGCCTGGCCCGGGGTCTGGACCCGGAGACTCCCCGGAAGGGCCCGAGGCGGAGGCTCCGGAGCGGCGGCGGAAGGCGCACGGGATGCTGAAGCTTTACTACGGACTCTCGGAGGGGGAGGTGGCGGGGCGCCCCGCCGGGCCGGACCCTCTGGACCCGACTGATCTCAATGGGGCACACTTCGACCCGGAAGTTTATCTGGACAAGGTGTGTGTGGAGTAGTGGGTCCAGGCTCCCCATGTATCAGACTCCCAGAACATGCCTCCGACTTCGTTGCAGGGGTGACAGGAGCAAGGGTCATAAGAGGAGAACGACCCCGCCAGGCAGTAGAGGTTCTGCTGGAGCTTGAGAGCGTGGGCAGGTTGGGACTGGCCTCAGATGGTGCTGGGGTCTGAGGCCTCCAGGCTGCTGTTCCCATAGGGCCCGGGTAGGGGGCGTGGCCCATGCTCTGACAGGCACAGGGCTGTACCTAGGCTGAGCCTGACAAACCCCAAACGGGGTCTAACCCAGTAATCTCTGAGGCAGGCCTCTGTAGGCTCCATATATGGGATTCGTGACAGGGTGGGATCAGAGTTTTCTTGCACAGAAAGCCTACCAGTTGGGCAAGTTGGGGGACATGAATGCCCCCTGACCTGAACACTAACCACCCTACTTCTCTAGTTGCGTAGAGAGTGCCCCCTGGCCCAGCTGATGGACAGTGAGACCGACATGGTGCGGCAGATCCGGGCTCTAGACAGCGACATGCAGACCCTGGTCTATGAAAACTACAACAAGTTCATCTCAGCCACAGGTGATCCCCACTGGGACACATGAGTCTAACATCTCTCATTCCTCCTGTGTTGGGAGAAAAGTAGGGATTTAGAGGGAGGAGACCCAGATTTCAGTCCTGCTTGACATTAATATACTATCACCTCCCTCCCTCTGGTCCTTTGTGGTCAGACTACGGTGGAGGTAATAGCTGCTCCAGAAGGGTTGTTTTAATACCAAAGAGGAGAAATGATGAAATGAAATTTTTAAATGAATTTATATAAATCATTTAAAAAGACTTCCTAACACCAAGGAAGTCTCAGTAAAGTTGCTTTTTTGTTTGTTTGTTTTTAATTAGTGGTAACTTTTGTCTCTGGTCCAAGGTAGATGGCCTTGTTCTTCCCTTCCTTTCTTCTTATTCCCCTTCCTCCTACCCTCCTTCTGTAATTAAACAAGGAGAGAAAAATTATGACATTAGAGACACAAAGATCATATAAGGTTTTTTAATTTATTTTGCCAAGAGCTGTTTTGCACATTGGGGCTCTAACAGTGAATCCACCTGACAAAGCTCCTGCCTTTTGGAGCCCACATTCTACTTGGAAAGACAGACAATAAATAAACACACAAGTAAAGGTGGTAGTAAGTGCTTAAAAAAATTGAGTAAGAAGAAAAGAATATGTGTAGGGTCCTCCTTTAGTGAGGGTGAGTATGGGAAGGCCACTCTGAGGTGTGTCATTTGAGCAGGGCCTTGAGAGACAGAGCCAGCCATGAGGTGGTGGGACTGGGGCAGGAGCACAGAGGTCTGGAAAAGAGAGCACATCTGAAGCATCCAGATGCAGCAGGGGAGAGTGGTAAGCTTAGGTAGGCTAGAGGGTTAGTAGGGATCAGGTTAGGGAAGGACCTGGGTGGTTGTGAGGAGTCTGCTTTTTACAGTGAGATGGAAGAACAGAAGAACGGTTGGTCTGGCTTATGTCTTAAAAGGGCCCTTCTGTCCACGTTGTTAAAAATGGACTAGAGAGGGGATAGGGTTGCAGCTCAGCGGTAGAGTGTTTGCCTAATATGTGTGAGGCACTGGGTTTGATCCTCAGCACCACACACAAAAATAAGTAAAGTAAAACTTTATTTATTAAAAAAAAAGGACTAGAGGGCTGGGGTTGTGGCTCAGTACTTGCCTAGCATGTGGGAGGTACTAGGTTTGATCCTCAGTACCACATAAAAATAAATAAAATAAAGGTATTATATCCATTTACAACTAAAAGAAAAAAAATACTTATATATATTAAATGGACTAGAGCCAGACACAGTGACATGCCTGTAATCCCAGCAGCTTGGAATATTGAGGCAGGATGATCAATGTGCCAGTCTCAGCAATTTAGACCCTGTTTCAAAATAAAAATTAAAAAGGGCTGGAGATGTGGCTCAGTGGTGAAGTGCTCAGTGGTGGGTTCAATTCCCAGTACCAAAAAGAAATTGGACCTTAGAGTTGGGTATGGTGGCACACTCCTATAATCCCAGCAACTTGGGAGGCTGAGGCAGGAGGATTGCAAGTTTAAGGCCAGCTTCAGTAACTTAGCAAGACCCTGTCTCTAAAAATAAAGGGGGCTGGGGATGTAGTTCAGTGGTAAAGTGCCCCTGGGTTCAAACCCCAGTACCCCCCCCCAAAAAAAAATGAAAGGAAGTGAGGGTGGCAGAGACCATAGGTGGCTATTGTAGCAGTCATGCTGATGACATGGACCAGGGTGGCAGTAGTGGTAAAGTAGAATGATTCAAGATATTTTTGAAGGTCAACCTTAAGGCATTTATTGATTGAATCATGTGATACAAGAGAGAAAGAGAATTAAAGGTGCTGGAGGTGTGGGCCCTGAGTCATTGGGAAGAATGGTAATGCTTCTTATTTTGAAGGAGTAAGTTGCGGTGAGAGCAAAATTCAAAAGTTCAGTTTTGGCCCTGTCAAGTTGTGATGCCTATTAGAGGAAGAGTCCAGCATTCAAGGTGTATGGAACAAGATGAGGGATCGACTTGGAGGGAATGTAGAGAGAGGAGAGATCTGAGAATTGAGCCCTAGGGTATTCTGACAGTGGAAGTCAGGAGGACAAGGAAGATCCCACCGAGGGAACGAGCAGTTGGAGAGGTTTGAGGCCAGCCAGAAGCATGGTTGTCTTTGAACTAAATGAAGAAAACATTCCAAAAAATGGAACTAACAAACTTAGTCGAGCACCCAGAGAGCAAGGCAACATGGAGTACTTGTTGACTGGGCAGGGACATGCAGGAGGAGAGCTGAGAGGCTCTGGAGCAGTGCACAGGTGCAGGGGCTGCCCTCGGCTAAGGACAGGTGCTCATCTACTAGGCTGGGCTGTAGCTCAGGAGTGGAGCACTTGCCTGGCAGGCAGTTCCCCAGCACTGCCGGGGGTGGGGGGGCGGGTGAGGTGGCACCAAGCACTTACTTACAGTAGCAGAAGGGAAGAAGAATGTGGGCAGAGCCAGGCAGGTGCTAGATGTGGTAGAGCTTAACTAGAGACCTTCCAGAACATATCAGGGATTTTCCTTTATCCAAAGAGTGCTGAGGCAGTGTGTTTAGACAGATGAATCATGTAGTGAGACTTGTGTTTTGAAAAGGTCCCTCCAGCTGACTGGGAGGAACAGATGGAGAGCTGGCAGGAGCGAGGCCTTTTCTGTAGTCCAGGCTGGAAGTTGTGGTAGCTTGCACCAGCACGATGGTGATGGGCAGGATGAGAGGCATTTGTCGGCAATATTGACAGCCCAAGGAGCTTCGACTGTAAAGATTACCTCCAGCTTTCAGCTTAAGCACTAGGTGGTGGATAGAGCAGCAAGGTGACTTATTTATTTATGTTTTTGTTGCTGTAGATGGACACAATATCTTTATTTGTTTTTATGTGGTGCTGGAAATCGAACCCAGTGCCTCACACAGGTGAGGCATTCCAGAGAGAGACAGACGGTAAATGAAGAAGTTAAGATCATTTCCCTTGACAAGCTCTCTGGAGAAAATAAAACAGGTAACTTCTTAGAGGGTAGATGATAGTGACTGATTTATAAAAGTGGTAGAGAAAGGCTTTTCTGAGATGGGGACAATTAAAGTGAGTGATGGAATTCCCCCAGGAGGATGGGGGGGGCAGAATGACTCCAACTGAGAGAACAGCCTAGGCAAAGGCCCTGGGAACTCTCCAGTGCAGCAGGAACAGCAGTGGAGAGAGCTGGACCTGACTGTGGACCAGGGGATGGCAAACTTTTTCTGAAAAGGACCATAGCACATGGTTTTCTGGGCCATCTGTTGTGTTGCATCTGTTCAACTCTGCCACTGACACCTGAAATAGCCATACAGGTGATATGTGAATAAACAAGGGTGGCTGTGTTCCATCGTAACCTCATTTGCATAAGCAGGCAGTGAGATTCTGGAGTGATGTGAGCAAAAATGCTGGAGCAAGTGCATTGATTTCTCTTTCCTCCATTAGAAAGCAATGAAAAGGACTGGGGTCGTGGCTCAGTGGTAGAGTGAGCGCTTGCCTCGCACATGTGAGGCACTGGGTTTAATCCTCAGCACCACATAAAAATAAGTAAATAAAATAAAGATATTGTGTGCATCTATTTTTTTTTTAAGGAGAGAGTGAGAGAGGAGAGAGAGAGAGAGAGAGAGAGAGAGAGAGAGAGAGAGAGAGAGAATTTTTAATATTTTTTTTTTTTAGTTCTCGGCGGACACAACATCTTTGTTGGTGTGTGGTGCTGAGGATTGAACCTGGGCCACACGCATGCCAGACGAGCGCGCTACCGCCTGAGCCACATTCCCAGCCTATCGTGTCCATCTATAACTGCAAAATATTTTTTAAAAAGCAATGAAAATATCCAGAGAACTCTGAAACAACTTCTTTAGAACTGTAGAAATTAACCAAGGTTTTCAGTAATATAGGGAAAAAGAAAAATGGCTAAATTTTGGTAAGAATAGTGAACACTGTGACTTTTTTTTTTTAGTGCTGAGGATTGAACCCAGGGTGCTTAACCACTGAGCCACATCCCCACCTTTTTCTTATATTTTATTTAGAGACAGGGTCTCTCTTAGTTGCTTAGAGTCTCATTAAGTTGCTGAGGCTGACTTTGAATTCACTATCCTCTGCCCTCAGCCTCCAGAGCCACTGGGATTACAGGTGTGTGCCACGGTGCCCAGCCCTAGGACATTTTAACTTGCTTTAGCCCCACTGCTTGCTCTCCAATTCAGCTACAGCCTTGAAAAATAATAGCTCATATTTCTGGTCCTGGATGGAAGACAACAGAGATGGAGCCCTTTCAAGACCTCATACTCAACAAATTGTCATTATTTGATCTGTCTGGTGGTTTCTTTTCTTTTTTTTTTTTTTTCCTTTCTTCTTTTCGAGATGGGGTCTCGCTATATTACCCATACTGGTCTTCAGCTCATGAGCCCAAGTGCTACTCCTACCTCAGCATCCCAAGTGCTAGGACCATAATTATGCCCTGGTCTGGCTGTCTGGGGGTTTCTTGAAGGACTTCACTCTGAAGCTTTATCAGTATTTGACTTAGAGGTTGCCTAGTGCTGGAGGCCTCTCAAGGAGGAGCTTTTCAGAACAAGTATAGATAAGTAGTGTGATTGCCCAAGTTGATGGATAATAGTCAGGCTAGCTAATAATCTAACCAAAAAGTCTAAAAGGGAAAGCTCAGGAATTGGATGTCCATATCTCAGGAAGGCCACACACATTTGCTGGCTTGTACCCATACTCAGGAAAGGCCTTAGAAAGCCCTAAGCTCTCCCCTCTGGCTTATCTGGAATCTCTGTACTAACAGGAAGTGGAGGCTAAGGCCAAGTTGTAACCAACTGACTGGCTGCATGTTTAAGATCCCCAACATGCACACACACTGCCAGGGAGATTTATGGGTTCCAGGCATTTAAGGAGTTTTTAGTTTAATTATTATCTGACCACTAAGCTAACCGAGTGAAGATATCAGTAACCATACACATCTAAGAACACAGACTTTGTGGAATTTATTCAGAAACTAATTAGATCAGGTTTAGTAACT